GGGTCGGAGTAGCCGAGGAGGTTGACGAGGCGCGGGCCGCGCACGGAGGAGAGGATGCGGATCTCATTGTCCACCTCGGCGCGGCGCGGGGAGGGGCGCTTGACGGCGACGGCGCGGCCCGAGGGGAGCACGGCCTTGTAGACGGCCCCGTGGCTGCCCCGGCCGAGCAGCGCGGCGTCGGCGAAGCAGGACGTGGCGGCCTCCAGGTCGTCGTACGCGAAGCGCTCGATCTCCGGCGCGGCGGCGGGCGGCGGCGCCGCGGCGCCGGGGCCCCTGGCGCGGCGCGAGATGGGGAGCGGCGAGATGGCCGTGATGGAGCGGCACGTCGCCGCGGACGAATCCGCCCGGCAGGAGAGGTACCCCATCCGGGGCCGGGCGGAGGCGTCGCGCGCCGCGGCCGGGGGCGGGAGGAAAGGGGATCCGAGGCGGGGAGAAGAGAGGAGAGGTGAGGAGAGGAGGAGAAGTGTGGAGTTGGAACGGTAGCGCGGAGGGGGCTGCGTGTTTTTGGAGAATGGTGGGCGCTTGGTCTCCGCGCGGCGCGGCGAGGCTGCGGGGCCCGGGTCGGACTGGCCGGACCGGCGGTGGTAACTTTTGAACCGGGACGGCGATGGACTTGCCTGATGATGTGCAGGATACATACAGTGATTCGTAACTTTTTGGTTTTTTCATACATATAAAAAAATTGCCCAAAATTCACATATTTCAACCAAATACAAATATCTCATAGTTTACAAACCAGATAAAATTTAAATTGCCACAAATACATTTGAAAGAAAAAAATATTTGATACGTCTATTGGTTGCCAAGATGAGATCATGTATGCTTAACCAAATCATTTTGCAGTTGAATGTGAGTTTTCCAGTCACACATTTGATTATGAAATTCAACGAAGTGTGCAAGCGTTGCCACTCCCCCATATTCACGCACAACATTTTCACTCTGAAATTAAATATCCCTGATCGTAGATTTCACCCGCATGCTCATCCTCTAAAATCATGTTGTGCATGATCACACCAGCAATCATCACCTCACACAACTCTCGGTGCTTTAAGTTTTAGCAGGATACCGAATAATGTCCCATCGTGATTGAAGAACACCGAAAGCAAGCTCCACCTCCTTTCTAGCACTCTCTTGTGCTTGGGCAAATTTGTGCCTCTTCTCTCCTATCGGGTTGGGAATTGTCTTGGCAAGAGTGGTCTACTAAGGATAGATACCATCCCTATGGAAGATCTTGTAACTCTCCTGATAGACGATGTAACCATTATTTCTAATTAATAAAGTCCAAGTTGTTTTTCAAAGAAAAAGATAGATACCATTGAGGGAGTCCTGGATAAGGGGGTATCCGGACAGCCGGACTATATACTTTGGTTGGACTGTTGGACTATGAAGATACAAGATTGAAGACTTCGTCCCGTGTCCGGATGAGACTTTCCTTGGTGTGGAAGGCAAGCTTTGCGATTTGGATGATAGAGCTCCTTCTCTGTAACCGACTCTGTGTAACCCTAGCCCCCTCCGGTGTCTATATAAACCGAACAACAATCATACCGTAGGCTAGCTTCTAGGGTTTAGCCTCTCTGATCTCGTGGTAGATCAACTCTTGTAATACTCATATCATCAAGATCAATCAAGCAGGAAGTAGGGTATTACCTCCATAGAGAGGGCCCAAACCTGGGTAAACATCATGTCCCCAGTCTCCTGTTACCATTAGCCTTAAACGCACAGTTCGGGACCCCCTACCCGAGATTCGTCGGTTTTGACACCAACATTGGTGCTTTCATTGAGAGTTCCTTTGTGTCATCGCTGTAAGACTCGATGGCTTCTCCAACCTTCAACAACGCCGTCCAGGGTGAGACTTTTCTCCCCAGACAGATTTTCGTGTTCGGCGGCTTCGCACTGCGGGCCAACTCGCTTGGCCATCTAGAGTAGATCGACAGCTACGCCCCTGGCCACCAGGTCAGGTTCGGAAACCTAAACTACATCACCGATGTCCGCGGAGACTTGATCTTCAATGGATTCGAGCCCGCTTCAGGAGCGTCGAATGATCGCCACGCGCATGACTTAGATCTGTCGTCGGACAGTATTCGGGATATCGCGCCTGCCATGGCTCCGGACTTTGATCCAGAGCAGATCGTGCCACCTGAGGACGGGTGGATGGACCCTGTCACTGAGGCCGCACACCTATCGGCGTTGGAGCCGAACATAGACTCCGTTTCTAAGGAAATCTGTGTCTCCGGACCCTCGGACCTATCTTCGGTCATAGGTTCCGGACTGCGTGCATCCATACCCATCGAATCTGATTGGGCTCTAGTCATGGAATTCACCGCCGCGAATATCTTCCAGCACTCCCCTTTTGGTGATGTGCTAGGTTCATTAAGGTCTCTCTCTTTGTCAGGAGATTCCTGGCCGAACTATGTTCGGCTCGAGTGGGAAGCAGGCGACGAAGAAATTCGTCACCCACCCACCACCCACTTCATAGCCACGATCGATGATTTGACCGACATGCTTAACTTCGACTCCGAAGACACCGATAGTATAGACGACGATGCGGGAGAAGAACAGGAACCACCGCCTACAGGACGCTGGACTGCCACCTCTTCATACAATATATATATGGTGGATACTCCTAAAGAAAACGATGACGATGAGGCAACAGGAGATAACCCCTCAGGGAAGAAATCAAAGCATGGGCGTCATCGGCGCCGCTCCAAGCCCCGCCACAGCAACACCGGCACTGGAGAAGAAAATAATCTAGATGGCGCCGAAGAGGAATACAATCCTGATCCGCCTACCTTCAAGCAGACCGAACAAGAACACGGGCAGGTCAGCCTAGATGAACAGGCGACGGATGGATACTTGGAGGACGATAACTATATGCCTCCCTCCGAAGACGAGGTGAGCCTCGGTGACGATGAATTTGGCGTATCGGGGGATCCCATAGAGCAGGAGCGCTTCAAGCGCCGGCTTATAGCCACTACAAGAAGCCTGAAAAAGAAGCAGCAGCAGCTCCGAGCTGATCAAGATCTGCTCACAAACAGATGGACAGAGGTCCTGGCGACCGAGGAATACGGACTCGAGCCCCCCATCAGGGGATACCCAAAGCACAAATCGCTAGAAGAAGAGGCCGAAGAGCCTGAACTACCAGCACAAGACGAGGCTGACCGGCCACCTCGTGGCCAGGATAAAACAACATACTAGCCCGCACCCCCACGCCGGTCCACTACGACCCGGGGCAATACGCAGGACCTGCGAGACACATTGGAAAACAACGCAGGACAACCAAGATCGATCTACGGATGACGAGGGCGCGCCACAGCACATGACGATGATCGTCATGCCGGATACACTAAATCTGGCCGGGTCGAACATAACCGACCAGACCTAGCCGGACTGCGTCGTGACATAGCCCGGAACAGAGGTGCCGCACACCCCTCTGCTTCACTGATGAAGTAATGGAACATGAATTCCCAGAAGGGTTTATACCCATCAACATCGAGTAATACGATGGTACAATAGCCCCCGCGGTGTGGATCGAAGATTTCCTTCTCCATATTCACATGGCTCGCGGTGAAGACCTACATGCCATCAAGTATCTCCCCCTCAAGCTTAAAGGGCCAGCCAGACATTGGTTGAATAGCCTGCCAGCAAACTCCATTGGCAGTTGGGAAAATCTTGAAGACGCATTCCTCGATAACTTCCAGGACACTTACGTGCGACCACCGGATGTTGATGACTTAAGTCACATTACCCAACAGCCCGGAGAGTCAGCCACGAAATTATGAACTCGGTTCCTAACTAAAAAGAACCAAATTGTCGACTGTCCGGACGCCGAGGCCCTGGCGGCCTTTAAGCATAATATCCGCGACGAGTGGATTGCCCGACACCTCGGCCAAGAAAAACCAAAATCCATGGTGTCCCTCACGACACTAATGACCCGCTTTTGCGCGGGCGAGGACAGCTGGTTGGCTCGCAGTAACACCGCGCCAGGAAACTCTGGCACTTCAGATGTCCGCGACAGTAACGGAAAGTCACGGTGCAATAGACATAAGCGTCGGAACAATGGCGACAATGCGGAAGATACGGCAGTCAATGCCGGATTCAGCAACTCCAAATCCGGTCAGCGGAAGAAGCCGTTTAGAAGAAACAATCCGGGATCGTCCAGTCTGGACCGCATACTCGACCGCTCGTGCCAGATTCACGGCACCCCCGATAAACCATCCAATCACGCTAACAGAGATTGCTGGGTGTTCAAACATGCCGGCAAGATAAATGCCGAGAACAAGGACAAGGGGCTGCACAACGATGATGATGAGGAGCCCCAGCGTTCGAACACTGGGGGACAGGGGAAATCCCCCCCCCCCAGCTGAAAACGGTAAACATGATCTATGTTACCCACATCCCCAAACGGGAGCAAAAGCGTGCACTTAGGGACGTTTATGCGATGGAGCCAGTCGCCTCAAAGTTCAACCCATTGTCATCCTGCCCGATCACTTTTGATCGTAGGGACCATCCTACTAGCATCCGTCATGGAGGCTCAGTCGCATTGGTCCTTGACCCGATCATCGATGGATTCCACCTCACGCGAGTCCTCATGGACGGTGGCAGTAGCCTGAACCTGCTCTATCAGGACACAGTGCACAAAATGGGTGTCGATCCCTCACGGATCAAGCCAACCAAAACCACCTTTAAAGGTGTAATTCCAGGGGTAGAGGCCTGCTGTACGGGCTCAATTACACTGGAAGTAGTCTTTGGATCTCCGAATAATTTCCGAAGCGAGGAATTAATCTTCGACATCGTGCCTTTCCGTAGTGGCTATCATGCACTACTGGGACGAACTGCGTTCGCTCGATTTAATGCGGTGCCACACTATGCATACCTCAAGCTCAAAATGCCAGGACCATGCGGGGTTATAATAGTCAACGGAAACACAGATTGCTCCCTTCATACGGAAGAGCATACTGCGGCCCTTGCGGCCAAAGTACAAAGCAATATTCTTCGACAGAAAGCCTATCCGGCAACAACAACCCCGAGCACCGTCAAGCGAGTCCGTAGCACCCCGCAGTAGGATGGTCAGGCGCGCTAAGAGCTCGATTAGAAATCCGGCCTCCGCAATAACCCCACTGAGGAGGCATTTGTGCCACGCATACACAACTATGCACTCGAAATACCATGGTCATATGCGGAGGCAAGTCGACGATGCAGTTCACAGTGCGGTTCAGCCCTTACAAGGCCCGCACATCCTTCAACTTCCTTTCTTTTCAGGACCCCACTTTCGGGAAGCCCCTTCAAAGAACCGGACTATCCGACTCATTACTGAGGGGAACACCAAGGAGGCAAGAGGCTCTGCACACAAGGGAATACCCAGGTG